AACTACTTGCTGAGTTGTGGTCTCCTTCTGCCTGCATTGCAGAGCAACTAGGACCCTTGATGAACGAATACAAAAGCAAGAAATAAACCTGGCTGTTTAAAGCTCTTGGTATATGGGGAATTTTGCCAGAACATTATTTAAGCAGTCCTGACTTTTATCATTTTGCAGAAACTCCCCAAGTGATTCTGTATCCCAATCTGATCAATGAACACATCTCTTCAAAGAGTTTTAAATGCTGTTTGTGGATCAGCTGCCCCAGCTTCATCTGAGGAATCTGTTTAAAATTCCATGATTCTGGGCCCTCCCTAGTGGCGCCACAAGTGAAAGTGCCGCACTATGGACGTGGCTGCAGCCACTTCAGCACAAGTTCGATCCCCAGCCAGGGAACTGACACCCATGGCGCGGCAGACCTCTCCTGACCTGCCCACTGCTCCCCTCAGCAGTGTACTTCGTCGATCTGCCTGTTCTGCTCCCCGCTCTGTCTCTGGTGTATCCTCTCACTGCCCCTGTGCCTCTGGCCTGTATCCCAGTTCTGTATGCATAAATAAACCTCTAAAAAAATTAAATTGTGTGATTCTATAGTTCACCCTTGGACTGCCTTTCGATCACACCCTAGTGCAGAGTCAAGCTGTAGAACAAGGCGATCCGGTAGCTGTTTCCAGCTCCACATTGCACAGTGCTGTGTGCTCGCCCAGTCATCGTCATTGCTAGTTAATTGCAGCAACTAAGTGAAGGAGTTAAAACCTCCTGGACGGTTGGCATCGTGAAGCCACCAATTTCCTTCCCGTGCTATCCATTGGGACTGACAACAAACCAGACACGTTGGTTGTTTTTGCCTTGACTTTGTAGTTGAGCTCCTTCTCACTATCAGCTTCCACAGGGAGGTTTTTGGAGTCTCTTTCGGCTTCGCAATTAACATGGACTGAAGCTTGAGAAATCGCTGCAGCAATTGAGGGCAGGTGTATCACCAGCCGCATAAAACCCTTCTAGGCTCTGTCAAATAATAATAGTTTTTTTCTTGTAGCACACGGATTTAGAATGCATGATTTTTCTCCTTTCTTAATTGCTTTATATTCTCTTTCGAAAATCAATTTCAGAGAGTGAGGCCTGGGATTGGTCCTACTTTCTTCAAGCTGCGCTAAGGAGACCATACCCACATAAGTACTAATTCATCAGTCAAATGACTCCCTAGTATCAGTCAGGGTGTCATTAAAAAGGGGGAGGAAGGGTGAAAAAAAAAACCTCTTTTTTAAAGCCTAATTTATATTTCAATTCCACCTGGAGCTACAATTTCAAAGAGAACTAAGGCGAATTTTAAATATAATCAGTCACATTTCCCAAGATAATTTGACAGTCAGAAATTTTTTTGTGGGGTTCCTTTATCCAAATTGCCTAGTCATAGTTTCATTGGCCTTTTTTGCCTTTTCAACAGTGCTACTTGGAGGCTGGGGAAGTAGGAGAATGTCAGCTTTGGGGAACTAATCTGTGCAGATAAACGTTTAGTTCCAATTCCACCTTGTTGGCAAGAGATATGAGAGCTCTGGGGGTAATGTGGAGATATTCACCCAGTGGAGTGAGGGTTAACATATCCAGTTCCACGCAAGTTGCAAAGAAAACAGAACAAGACCAAAGAGGTGTTTAAGCCAAAGCTTTATGCCTAAGTTGTAAAAAATATTTCATATTTTGAATCAAAATAGATGGACCAAAATAATTGTAGAAAGAACACAGAGAAGAAAAACCTCATTTGACAAATAGTGCTGAGCTCTTACTGTGGGCCAGGCACTGGTCTAGTGCTGAGAACAAGGGCATCATGAGGTAGATGGCATCCTCGTGGTCTTTATACTTGGAATGGGCCCCAGGGGTAGCATATATGAAGACTGTAATTATTGAATCTCAGTTCAAAGTGAAATGGCAATAGCTGTCTCTTAGAAGGCTTGGAAGGGGTGAAATAAGAGAAACATATAGAAGTACCAAGTCTTCAATCAGGCATGCAGTAAATGGCATCAATAAATAAGACTTATCTGTTTATTTGGCAAATATCTTCGCCATTTAGACATTTTTCTATCTATAAAACCTGTGATCAGCATTCCAGGTAACATTTATACAATTACACACACACATACTATCCTGTTTTCTAGTCCAAATTCAAAGCAAATAAATATTTCTGTAGATAAAAATGGGTTATAAAAGCAGAGTAAAAATGGAAATCTGTGTTTTAAAGTGTTCTTTTATCCTTCTGGGTTCAGAGTCAAGTTCAATGATACAAGAGCTGGAGAGAGGTTTTCTTGAAGCTATGAAAGGTCAAAAATTCTAGACTGGGCACTGTCTGCAGTGGTATTTTATCATGGGAAGCAGGTGTTACCCAGTCTCATAGCCAGGCCTGGTCTAACCTGGCTAACCATCTAATCTAGTCCAGTTAGATGACTGCACTTGCAGTGTCCTGGCAGGACAGGATTCCAGGTTGATAAAACGATACACTCTCTGGATGAGGAGCCAGATGCTGGCTGCTGGCAGAATGTCTTGATGAGGATAAGGAGTGTAGAGGGAAAAAGAAAACAAAACAAAACCACAGCAACTACTCATTAGGATAAATCTAAACAATTTCAAAATGCAGTAAGTTAATTTAGAAGACATAATGACATCAATAGAGAGATGAAAGCTCTCCAAATTAAATGAAAACAATAAGAAAATAAGCTGATGGGGAAGGAGAAAATCTACAAAAAGAATAGCAAATTATCTTGAAGACAGAAATACATCAATTAGGCACCTACAAATTGGACAACCTAGGTGGATAAATTCGTAGAAACATACGATTTCTCAAGACTGAATCCTAACAAAATAAAAGTCTGGACAGACCAATAATGAGTTTGAATTTGTCATCAATTTATTCTAATGGCCCTCCCTGGTGGCACAGTGGGTTAAAGCTTAGCACTAAGAAGCTAAAGCCACTTTGGCATGAGTTCAATCCCACCCTGGAGGTGAACCACATGGCACACCACACCTCTCCTGACCCACCTGCTGCTCCCCTCAGCAATGTACTTTGTCAATCTACCTGTTCTGTTCCCCACTGTGTCTCTGGTGAAGCCTCTCACCGCCCCTACACCTCTGGCCTGTACTCCAGTTCTGTATGCATAAATAAATCAATCTTAAAAAAAGAAAAAAAAAGAAATAGAGTCTCTTACAAGGAAAGAAAACAAAATCACAAAGAAGATATGTGAGGTTAGGCCTGTGTTCTCACTAAAAGAAAGCACAGACCTCGTCTTTCTCTTAACACTGTTATTTTAAATTACGGTAGTATTCACAAATCGCTCAGAGCAAATCAGGGAGATTCAGTCAAAACTCAGCTTTATTTCACTCTTCTATTGTTTGTCAAGATTATAAAGTCAGGCTTTCTATAAAAATGTCAATATCAAAACATCTTTATTCTATCTCCTTTAAAAGGATAGCACAATAAAGGCATAACATTATCCTGGCATGTTATGAATTTCTCCAGCATCCACTGGAAAGGCAGGGATGATGAGGGAGTAAATACCCAGCCCACAGGGCTCACCTGAGGTGGGTGAACCGGAAGGCAGCTGTGCTAGAAATAGTACTACCCTGGAAATCCTGAAATAAAGACCTCATTAAACTCAGCAGTTTTTGTAAATTTGTCAAATGCAGCTCAGAATCTGCAGAGATTAAGCAGTGTGAGAACAAAACAAAGCCATATAATAGATGCAAACCTTATTGATCACCTAGCACCTTCCAGATGATTTATAGTGCACTTATTCAGAAAAGTCAAATATGATAAACTTTAATTTCTTTTTTTTTTAAGATTTATTTATTTATGTATACAGAACTGAGGTCCAAGCCAGAGGTGCAGAGGCAGTGAGAGGATTCATCAGAAATAGGGTAGGGAGCAGAACAGGCAGATTGACTGAAATACACTCTTGAGGGGAGCAGAGGGCAGGTCAGGAGAGGTCTGCTGTGTCATGTGGGTTACCTCCAGGGTGTTGATCGAACTCATGCTGAAGTGACTTTAGCTTCTTAGTGTTGTGCTTTAACCCACTGTGCCATCAGGGAGGGCCCAAACTTTAATTTCTTAAGATTTCCCTAAAACAGGAGTCCATGGTTTTATTCCCAGCAAAGCACCTGAGTCTTTTAAGCATCTTATTTCTGCTAAGTCTCCCTGTGTCTCCAGGTGCTTAACTGTCTTTCTGAAAAGCTAAGGCCATCCAAGCCACATAACTTGGCACTGTCTTTTCCTGAAACAAACCACAGCAAAAGCTTTTAGTAGCTGAGGCAGCCAAATGTGCAAGGGGCCCTCCCACCTTGGCAGGGCAACATGCAATTAAGTGGAAGGTGTGTCTTGCCTCCAGGGGAAAGGTAGTAACTTGACTCTGCCCTCCTCAGAGCCAGGTGAGCGTTTTATATATCTACTTAAGATTTTATTTATTTATGTTTGCATAGAAGAGCTGGGGTATAGGCCAGAGGTGCAGAGAGGGAGGGGTAAGAGGATTCAGCAGAGTCAGAGTCGGGAGCAGAACAGGTGAGTCCACTGACATACACTGCTGAGGGGAGCAGCAGGCCAGACAGGAGCAGTCTGCTGCACCATGTGGGTCAGCTCCCTGACCAGGAATGGAACTCAGGCCGTAGTGGTGATAATGTTGAAACTTTACCCCTAAGCCAGTAGGGAGGCCCATAGGCAAGCCTGTACCAGATTAAGTGAAGGTGACCCCAAATATCCATATACACTGGTATGAGCACAGAAAATTACAATACGCTATTGTTGATTTTGAAAGAAATATGCAGAAAGCTTAATGAATGAATATTTTAAATATCTTTTATTTTTCATGTTTATTATCATTTGACTATTTATGCCAAATTCAAGGATCCAGGGCTCTTTGGAGTTCCTATTCGCCTCCTCTGTCACAGGGCTCCATTTAGCAAATGTGGTTGTGACTTGAAGGATAATTCCCCAGCTCATTATTTACCCTGCATTTTGCCTTTTTTCCTGCCAGGAAGCAAAATGTGCTTACACACTTTTTGTTGTTGCCATATTATGGATAACGGAAGCTTTGCCTCTGTCGGTCACAGCTTTGCTGCCCGGTTTAATGTTCCCACTACTTGGGATTTTGTCTTCTCAGAAGGTAAGTTCTCTTGCAAATGGCGGTCATCATTGCATTCCTTATTTTGTGGTGACAGTAACACTCTCAAAGTTATCTTCAGGTGCAGCCATATCTGATGGATACACCTACTCAAAAGTCCTCAAAACTTGCAGTTGTTTCTTGCCTCCAGAACCCTGCAGGTTTTTCCTGCAGGTGGACGAAACAACAGACCCATGCTCCTTGAGTTGCTTGTGTCAGTAATTGTGCCCAAGGTGTGTCCAGTCTCCCCAGGCTGACATGCGCGTCTGGTCCTTCTCCAGCAAAAGGCCAACACTTTCACATCTTGCATACACTTTTTCTATTCAGCACAATTCAGTCTCACATCATGCTGGAAAAGCAATTCTTGTTTTTAATGAAGAAAAAGCTTCCCTGTTTTCTTTTCTAGAAACCTGCCATTTCGAAAGATAAAGCCAAATTAACTTTCACATGTTTTTCTATTTTGTTCTTGCTGAGAGGAGTTTATTCGTGCTGAGAGGTGTTTCTTACCTTTATACAATCTAAGGATACTGGTCTGAAGAAAATGGATTCAGTTTCCCATTAAATGCATGAAATCAAATGACACCAGAATTTGTCGCCATGCGTTCTCCAGCTCATGAGTGTCCCAGCTATAGCTGAAACATTCTCAGGGAAGATGACAAGTTCAAGGTGCCTGTCAGTGTAATTTATCACCTTTGGACCTGTACCTTCTGCCAGGGTCCAGATACTGCCGCTTTCTTGAGGTTCGTCTGTCCTGTAATGTGCAGGGAGACTTTTCTTTTTAACATGTTCATGGATTCATTTCTTTTTTTTTTTCCTTTTTGGTTTTTGTGTATGTGTGTTCAAAATTTCTTTGAGAGGAGCTAATCCCTTCCTTACTTTCATGTTATTTACCCCTATATTTTTTAAAGATTTATTTATTCATGCATATAGAACTAGGGTACAGGCCAGAGCTGCAGGGGTGGTGAGAGGATTCACCAGAGACACAGTGGGGAGCAGAACAGGCAGAACAGATAAAAGTGCACTGCAGAGGGGAGCAGTGGGTAGGTCAGGAGAGGTCTGCCGTGCCATGTGGGCCAGCTCTGGGATGGAATTGAACTCATACTGAAGTGGCTTTCGCTTCTTAGTGCTGTGTTTTAACCCGCTGCGCCACCAGGGAGGGCCCTGTTTTCAGGCAAGGTGCAAGTCCATCTTTGATATGCTCAATCCCCCTGCTCCTTTTTTTTTTTTTAAAGATTAATTTACTTATGCATACAGAACTGGGGTATAGTCCATAGGTGCAGGCGCAGTGAGCAGATTCACCAGAGACAGAGTGGGGAGCAGAACAGGCAGATGGAGGCAGTACACTGCTGAGGGGAGCAGGGAATGAGATAGAAGAGGTCTGCTGTGCCATGTGGGTCATCTCTCTGGCTGGGGATTGAACTCTCACTGAAGTGGCTGCAGCTAGCTTCAGAGTGCTACACTTTCACCACTTGTACCACCAGGGAGGACCCCTGTTCCTTTTTTCATTCTGCAGCTCCCCAACCCACATAATCCTAACTTGCTTTTTTCTCAGCACCAGTGATTGGAAAAAGAGTATAGGCTATGCTTAAATTCCTGTCACCCGCCTCTGCTGCCCCCCCCCAGAACCTGTGATCTCTAATTGAAGAAGTTTCTTAAATGCTTCAGTCTTCCCTGTGACTCCCAATGAAAGAAATATTAACAGGATGTCAAATTATTACTCCATGTCCTGTTGATTTGGGTGATTTCCAAATATAAGTAAATTTAATAGTCATGTACTTGTCTTTTACCATTTAATAATAATCACACCAACTGAACTGACTTTTTAAAAATAGACATTATGGTAGCAATGAGCTAGAGGAAGACAGGAGGAAGAGGACATAACTTGGAAGGCCAGATTTTGCAGGAGTTGCCAATGAAATATTCATGGCCTTGTGTAGAGGTGGAGGCCTGCCTGAAGGAAGCAAAATTCAGGTACCAGGGGCACTTGCGTTACTCAGGTTCCTGGGTCTTAGTCCTAAAGTGTCAGCCTCAGAAGTTAATCACAGAATCTTAGACTTGGAAGGAATTTTTCTGAGTTACTCAACCTAGGCATGGAGTATTTCTTGCAGACAAGATATTCCAGAGGCCCATGTGTGGACCCATGATGGCTCCTCATGAGGAAATCTGTACCATTCTTGAATAATTTTAACACTAAACTCACATTATGGAGCCCAAATCTGAAACTTAAGTCACTTTGATACTAACTTTTCTCTGACATAAAGATTCCACAAATAGCCCTGATCTTTCTCCCACATGATAGCGTTGGTTGAATTTGAACATAAATATCACTTCCTAATTAAGTCTTCCCTGTTCCAGTCTTTATGGTTTTCAGACCTCACCTCCCTTCCTTAACCCCAACATCCCCATTTCCATAATCACCACCATCCTTTCTCTTCCTAGAACCTAACTCAAGTTTGTCAGTGAGACTTTAGGATGTTTATAAAAATAACATCTGTCACATAACACTCAATACACGTTAGTTCATATTATTATTATTAATATTTTCTTGATATTTATTATTAAATATCAAGAAAAGAGGATAGGTGACTTGAGAAACATCCTCAATATTCCAAAGTATGATAGTCAATCATCTCCCCTCTGGTATTTCAGCCTAAGTTGTTTTTTTTTTTTTTTTAAAAGATTTATTTATTCATTCATATAGAACTGGGGTACAGGCCAGAGATGCGGAGGGTGAGAGGATTCACCAGAGACAGAACGGGGAGCAGAACAGACAAATCAACGAAGTACACTGCCGAGGGGGTCAGTGGGCGGGTCAGGAGAGGTCTGCCAGCCATGTGGATCTCCTCCGGGGCAGGCAGGAATCGAACTCATACGTAAGTGGCTTTAGCTTCTTAATGCAGTGCTTTAACCCACTGCGCCACCAGGGAGGGCCCTAAGTGTTTTTTTTTTTTTTTAATATTATGTGAATTTATTCACCTGTTAAACTTACTGGCAACTTGCAACTCAGGGTCCTAAGGAAATTTAGTGGAGAAAAATGTTCTTTTTTGTCATAAAAAAATTCTCTTTTCAGACAGGACAACTGAACTTTTATTCAGAAATTGCTGACCAAAGCTATAGAGAACGAGTTAGATATTTAGGCAGAAAACTATGCTTAAAACCTGATATTCACCACCACTTATATGATTCTCATCATGTCCCATAATAATCTTTTTTCACACCTGTAAATAGGGAATGGAAATGCTACACAACCCAAAGGTTGTACCATCACATTAAATCATAATGTGAAACCATGATCTATAATACGCATCAAGTCAGTTTGAAAATTGACCATGGAAGTTTGCTTGATAGTATTAAACTCTGAATTCCAGCTTACCTCAGCACCCTGGAATTTCACTGATTTGCATAATGTATCTCTAATATCTTCATCTAAGTTCAGAGTCCTATACATCTATCTCATTAACCACTGTAGCATTAACCTTACTTCATCTATTTATTATGCCGATGATAATTATGTAGAACCTACTGATAACATTGCTGTATTGAAGAAAACCAACAAATAATAAATTTCTCACCTATCTGTTGAATTAAACCTAAAATACTATTTAATATGCCCTAATTAGATATGTCAAAACATATTATTATTGAAAATGTCTCTATATAAATTTTACATGTTTAAATGTGAAAATACACATCCTTGATCATACATACATAGATGCTCTGTATTTTCTTGATCATTCAGTAACTAGATATGTTCTAGAACTCTTTCAATTACTTAGTAAAAATCAGTGAGAAAATGCAGCCCTAAAAATCTATCTTCTTAGGAGAAAAGCCAGAATAAAAATATCTTAATGAATAGGTAAATATTAGTGTTACAGAAAAACAAAGAAACAAAAGCTTTAAGGACTATAGTCAACAATTTTTTTTGCACTTCAAAACTTTATGTTCTAACTAATTTGACAACAAAATTTTTAACAAAAAATGCTATGTACTCATATTTTGTAGCATTCTTTGCACAAAGCTGTTGCAAATGGTTGGCCAGACTGTCCATGTAATCTACTAATCTCAGAATTGTGTTAGCTAAACACATTTGGTCCTTATTCAAGAGTATTTGTTTTATAATAAATATTTTTTTAAGGTAAAGCTATTCTAAAATGAAGGAGTAACTCTGAAGTTATGGTATAATAGTTGGTAATGAAGTTATCGAGGAGTTGGAGAATTAATTTAGTATTTGCCATTCCACTATAGGAGCACAAACTCCTATTAACTCTAGTTTACAACTGGAAAACTCCAGTTACAAATGGAAAAGTTACCATTGGCATATGCCAGATGGTGCTTGGTTTTTTAAAAATTCAGTATCGTAGCCACTCTTTTTTCTCTATAGTTTTCCTTAACAATTCTATTTCTTGTTAAGAATGAAGAACATATTTAAATTCATATTCAAATATGTCCATATTTTTCTCAACAGATTTTGTAGTTGAAGGTCAAAGAGAAATGAAATAATGTCTTTCTTATGCAATGCTATTTTGCCTCCACCATTGTCAATAATTACAGGTTTAATTATTATTTCAGGTGGCATCTACTTATTTCAAAGATTTTCACCTACTGCTAATTGGAGTCATCTGTCTAGCCACATCCATAGAAAAATGGAATTTGCACAAAAGGATTGCTCTGAGAATGGTGATGATGGTGGGTGTGAACGTAGAATGGCAAGTACTGCATTTACTGTTCCAGGTTTCCATTCTGAAAGGACCAGTTTGTCAGAACAAATAACTAAATAAGCAATGAACACCCAGGCAACTATTTGTACCACAGAAAAGAAATATAAAACAGGATGGCAAATTCCTACTCTGTCCTGTATTTTGGGTGTCTGACATCCAGAAAATAATTTTTAACTACTTAATTAATAATAAGTAGTAATAACAATAAGTAATTATTTAATTATTCTGGAAAATTAAATTCATAACACCAGCTAAACTGACTTTTTTAAAAGAGGCTAAAATAGAAGCAATTTTTTTTCTTCTGCAAATATGAAAGTGATATAAAGTGTACTTGAGCTGTGGATGGGAACAAGTTTCTTGTCATTGGAAGTCTAATTACAGAGAGTCTGGAGTGAGTGCACCCAACTCTCTCACCTCTTTTCTACCGTAGGAGTCAAAGCATAGAGATGTCTTGAAACTATAGAGACAGGGGTGATAGGCTTCCGAGCAGATTTCAGTCCTATCTTGTTTATTTGGCTGATTACACATTCAAGACTTGTTCAAGTACATCCTTGATCATCAGGAAGGATGTTAAGAACCAAAGACAAAGACATTACTGATGAAATACAAATGTGTGCAGAAAAATTCCAAAGTGAACATTTTTCTTTTTAATGAAGTGTTTCAAAGTGAAACAATCAATTAAGAAGTTTCATCTTTACAATGTGAAATCACTCATTTGACTGATTTCCTCCATGAAATGAATGCTTTTTTCCATTAAATTAATTGGTTGCTTTAATTTTTAATTCCAGCTCGTGTGAAGAACATAGATGTGAACTAGAAGAATTTGCAGTGTCATGATCATTTGCATAATGATGTTTTAAAGCCTTAGGTGTTTATTCCTTTCTCATCTTTTGAAAATAAGTTTCATATTGAAGTCTGTGTAGTTAGATTCTTCTAAAGCATAACAACATCTGTGTTTGCCTCTTTGGAACAAGTTGCTTTGTTAAAAATTAAATAGATAAGACAAATAATAAAAATATTTGTTGCTGGCAATTTTGTAAAAGGTATTTACTAGGGTCTTTTACTCTTAAAATTGATGATAGCCCACGACTGTTGGGGTGTTCTAGAAATATGCCTCCTTCCATGGCCATCTGCTCACTGTCCCAGAGTGGGCTCTTACACAGCACAGCGAAACTAGAGTCCTGTCCATTATACCACCAGGTGACTTTTCCCTTTAAGGCATTTTCACCACACAGAAGCTTTATGTGATTCTTGTCTTTTCTTATTAAAATATTTCATGTCTTACCAATGCCTTTATTTAAACATCTCCTGATTTTTCTATTAAAATTATTTCCTGCTCAAGCTGATTTCTAAAATATTTTATTTTGCATTTAAAGTCACCTTATCTGAACTTGAAACAGTGTAGAATTTTTCCTGGGGATCTATTTTAAAGGGGAAATGTGCTTCTGAATGATTTTCTGAGAATTACTATTTAAAGGAGATCATATTTTTCCAAATTTTACAGATATGGTTCAAAATTCTATAATCTTAGGTATGTTATTTTTGATGGAGAAGAACTCTTCTATTTATAAGAGAAGACAATGAACTAGATCTAGAATTTGACAATAGGTAAGTGTGTCAGATTCAAGAGAACATCAATGATAGAATCTACAGAAAATTCAGAGACCTCATTTTAGTTAATGATTTTTAACCACTTCATATACATATATACACATACATACACACATGCATGGGAACACATAGCAGGGATACTTAGAAATGGTAATCTCTCTTCTTCTCTTCCTCCCCTAGGGTATCTCTGGCATTCATAATAACAAATGGAGATATTATCTAAAGATCATCCAAAGAATAGGAGATCCAAAATTTAAAAGTGGATAGCACCTTGTCTTACTAGTTTTTGAAGGCAAGTGTCATCTGTAAAAGGAGTTCAAATATTGTCCTTGTAGAAGTTGTTATACCATCTATTAAGTTGCAGTATGGTTTTACATTGGTTGTACGTCTGATTATGAATCTTGGTTCTTGATTTTCTGATTTTGGAGAAAAGATTCCTGTCATTTCCTGGGAGATTCTCTTACATGTGTCCTTTCATGGATATCTGGTTAGGACTGTCCTTGGCGTCAACATCTGAGAGAAACCGTAACCTTCAGTGTGTGTGTCATCACCAGCTTGCAAACATCTCTAGTTAAGCAAGGATGCGAAATAAGCTAATGAGAACAGCTCATGCTCAAGACTCTTGTTTCAGGCTGACCTTGGGCTTCATGATCAGCACCGCCTTCTTGTCCATGTGGCTCAGCAACACCTCCACAACTGCCATGGTCATGCCCATTGTGGAGGCTGTGGTGCAGCAGATCATCAGTGCTGAGGCAGAGGTTGAGGCCACTCAGATATCTGACGCCAGCGGTTCCACGAACCACGCCCTGGAACTTGATGGTATCTCATGTCCACTCAGTTGCCGTGGGGCCTAACCATGTGGGTACTAGGTCTAAATGCCAGAATGTTGGGTCATATTTTGAATTGACTGTCCATATATATATACAACACGAATTTAGCCTTCCGTTTTATATGTTGGCCAATACTTACACAGGGAATTATATGACCCAATATTTTATCTGAAATGAACAACTGAATATACATTATTTGGCAAAAAAAGGAGGAATGACTTATAATTTCCATTTTCATGGGTCTCTGTCTTTTTCTCTGCAACCACCCACTCCCAACCCATGCCCTCATTTTTATAAGTACACCTCCAGGTTATTCTTTCAAATTCTAATGAATTCCCTTCATAATATTGGGAGCCTTTACTTGGTACATTCTACTTGGAAATAGTATCACATTTTGTGGTGTTTTTTCTGGCTCTGATAAACTAGTCTGATACAGAATTTATTATTACAATGTATTTAATGTTCATTCAAATTTATTTCTTTTCTAGTAATGTTTCTGTTTTCTCCTACACACAGTCATTTATTTGACATATACTTCTTGATTTAATGTTTTGCAGAAAGTATTAATGGACAAGAAACAAATGAGAACAAAGAGAAAACAAAACCTGTTCCAGAGTAAGGAATATTGATATTTTGATTAGGATTTCTAAGATACCATTTAATAAAGTTTTAAGTGGATCAATTTGTTTTCCAGATACAGTAATGATGCAGGGAGAATTTCAAGCAAGATGGATCTGGGAAAGGTACATTGAGTTTGATTCTTTCCATATAATTATTTATGAAATTAGATTAGATCTGTTGTTTGATATGTATGCATTTAAAACCGTGTTATTGCTCACTTGTCTATAAATTACCTTGCTTGCCTAAGTCAAAGCATATATAATGGTTTAATAAGCCATATAAGTAGATTGAAGTCAACATCCTTTCAGAAAAATTTTAGGCTCTGAAAATCACCATCGTATTTTTTTTCTTTTACAAGCTTATGATAATGGCAGTAAGTATATGCAATTTAAAGAACTATAATTCTAGTCTCAGAATACTGTTCAATTTTCTTATTAAAATCTTGCTGGTTGAGAGCCTGATTTTCATTGGGATCATTGTTATTTCTTCCAGGTTATGAACTTAAAGCAACACCTATTCATGTAATTACAATCCAGTTATCTTTAGTGTTCCTATTACCACTAAGTAATTCAATGTAAAATGCATGAGTTGCTACTGTCAACTACAGATGGAAGAGTTATTGTAGCCATTACAGCTATTAAAGGAAGTAAGGAGACTTTTGTAAACTATCCCAAGGAATTCATTTCCCCAAAATAAATCACTATAAAATCACTAGATGTATTGGGAGCAATCTATCTGAAGACCATGGAAAGATAATGCTGCGTAGAAATAGTGCTGTGGTAACCATGGCATCAGGAATAGGAGAGGGAGGGATATGTTTCTACCTCAGGCTGTAGTGCATTAGCATGCAATCAGTAGGAAAAAGAAACTCTCCTTTTTATTATTTACAGAAATCTTCAAGGAAAGTGGAATTTCTATGTAAAGAGAATATAAATGCATAGATAAGTTTCAAACCATTAACTACAGCATACATTAAGGTTTTAAATATGAGAATTGAATATATATTTATGAAAACATTATCATCTTTCAGGACAGAAATAGTTCTTTTAAAACAGAAAATCAGCAGTATGCCAGGTGTATTAGAGAAGAATACATTAGAAACAGACTTAAAACTATAATGAAAATTGGCAAGGCTCAACACAATATACACTCAGTAACTTTCCTGTAATCATCTTCAGAAACCCAGCTTTCTGGCCTGAGAGGTTGGTTCATAGCTCCTCATATCTATCTGGCCTTCAGCATTGTCCTAGGCATTTCAGGAAGGTCTAACAATAAAAAGACTTGTTCCTGTTGTGGGTAGCTCAGAGTCTAGTGGAGAAGATGGACTTAAAAAAAAAAAAAATTGTGACAGGCTCTCCTTGATGGTCCAGTGGGTAAAAGCACAGCACTATGAAGCTCTCCCAAGTCACTGCAGCATGTGTTCGATCCCCAGCCAGGGAGCTGACCCACATGGCATGGCAGACCTCTCCTGACCCACCCACTGCTCCCCTCAGCAGTGTATTTCAGTTCATCTGCCTGTTCGGCTCCCCACTTTGTTTCTGTTTCTGGTGAATCCTCTCATCCCGCACACCTCTGGCCTGTACCCCAGTCCTCTAAGTATAAATAAATAAATCTTTTTTTTTTTTTAAAGGGGTGACTTATACCACAACAAAGGCCAATGCTGAAGCCACGTCTTCCAGAAACCTGAACAACTAGCTCAACTGGGCATGTTCAGGGAGGAAGTATGAGGCAGAGTGCTTTGAGATCTGAATCTGGAAGGAAGTTATCACCTTCAGCTAGAGGAGTGCAAACTCCATTTTCACTCTGTTCACCAGTTAGCCCCATAGCACAGTCTATTGTCTGAGACAGACTAGTTATTCCACAAATATTTATCAGCATGAACTAATAATGAATGGCAAAAGAGGTATTTTAATGAGCGGATACAGTGAAATCAGAAATACAGTGTAGAGAGAACACAGCTTTTTGAGGAAACATCTCTAGTGTAGGTCTAGGAAGAAGCTGATGTGTTAAGTGAAATGCTTGAAAAAGTTGATCCAGGTAAAAAACAACTATTCATGTATATAAATGCATTTGGAGTGTATTTTAGGGGAAATCCAGGGTTTGGAATTGAGGGGGCTAGCTGGTTAACACTGCCCGTGGGGAGTTTACTGTGCAAAAATATAAAGAGCAGAGGAGATGGTGTGAAATGGATTCAAGATAAACCAGGCTTTGAGAATGAGAGAGAAAAGTATGATGTCTCTTTTAGATAAGCTCAGTAAAGGTAGATTTGATGGCAGTGATTGAGAAGAAAATGCAGAGGGAAGAATAAGTTTTCAGTGGACAAAAATAGGATAACTTGCGTGCTTTGTAGGGAATTAAGATTAAGGTCTATGTTGAGAAGGGACCAACAGGAACTTGAATGCTGAGCTAATCCGCTTTCTTCCAGAACCTGATGCATAAAAATTCAGCTTAATTGTTTTATATAAAAAAACAATTTCTATGTAAAAAACAACTAAGGGACAGTTTTTTTTTTCTTTATAAGGATATGCTTTATAAAAGATTCTGGAAATTATTATTCTACTTTTTGTAGTTTAAAATGTGTTTTGATGATTAGCAATTGTAAATCTCAGCAATAAACACTGTGTATTTTATGTTATGATTATGATATAGTGCACCTGGTCTTTGTCAGGGTTCTGCTACATAAATTAACAACAAAAGATTATTTGGAAGCATCCACATATCTATCTTTTGTGTGGTTATAAGATGGAAGGAGTATTTATATTCATATTGTTTGGTCTTCTGCTTTCTTCTTGACTTAGGTAGAACATCTGTTGAATTAAAAGAAATCCCATGTGGTTTGATTTTGCTTTTGAGCTGCAAATTACAAAAGATCCAAATATTACTCCTTTGAGGGGGAATGATTTAAAATGAATTTCAAAGAAACAGAAAAATTTAAGGGCTTAGATTTCTTTGGTACCCTCTATTACTTTTCCGTGTTCCAGTTTAAAAAAAAATAAATTTTATTTCTAGTGAAAATTACTAATTTTAGAAATTTGATTTACCATTTTTAGTAGGAAATTAGGGTTTTTCCTGAATTTAATTAAAATTAAATCAATATAAGACAGTTGATAAGCTTGATATGCTTGCTTCATTTCTTGGGTTACATACTTTTCTCTAAAGGCAATAATGTCATATTGATCCATATGAAGTTTAATATAGAGAGAGTAGAAAGTTACCAATAAGTAGATGAAAATAAAGAATTGCCACCAAATAAATTCTGAATGTAATGATTTCAGTAATATTTATTAAGAGATATACATTTAATATCTGTTCAACTCTAACTTTCTTAATAAGGCCTGCCTTCACAATGCATATCATAGCAGCCAATATATCTTTCCTCTTTATACCCCTAAATCTTACTCTTTCCAAAGCTCATCTAGCCTTATAAACTTTCTAGTTTGTATAATTTTTGTTGTTTTATTTGCTTTCTGTTTTCTCCATAAAAAGTAAAGATTCATCAAGGCAGGAATTTTGTCTGTTTACTTGTATCTTAAGTCTCTAAAACACTGACTATAATAGAGTAAGCATTTAGTAGGTATTTGTTGAGTGAATTAATTCAGTTTATTAATGCAGTTATTTTCTGAAATAACTGCAATGGAATCAAAACACTTCATTTTGCATATAATCTGTAACCAAAATAGAACACTGATAAAGGTTGAATGACAAAACTGTGGGTGGAATTGATTTTATTTTTTTTTAGCTTTACTGACACTTAATTGATACAGAATATTTTGCAAGTTTAAGTTGTAAACTTTGATACACTTATATACTGCCATATGATCACTACCATAACCTTAGTTAGCACCTTTGTCAGATTACATGATTAAAACTTCTTTGTTGTGATAAGAACTTTTAAAAGCTACTCTCATAGCAGCTCTCCTATATAGTTAAGTCATAATTATTATACTGTTTTTAAAATCCCCATAATTTATCAACCTGAGAACAGAGAAATTGTTCCCAACATTGCCCCATTTCTCCCACCACACTTTGATATAGTGCCAGTTGTCTTTTTTTTTTTTTTGGTTTTGTTGTTTGTGCTTTGGTGCTATATCCCAAATATGCATCACCAAAATCAGCATCAAAAAACCTTTCCTTATATTTATTTTAGGAATTTTTTGCTTTCACTTACTGTATTTAATTATTTAATCCCTCTCAAGTTACCATTTTGTGATAGGGCTCCCATTCATACTTCTGGATGTTGTTTTCCCAGCAGTATTTAGTATCCTCAGTGCCTGAGTAATTATTAGTTGACTGTATATGAGAGTTTATTTGTGGGCTGTGCTCTAATGGTTTGTGTTATACCAGTACCATTCAGGTTTGGTTATTATAGCTTTGTTGTATAATTTAAAATTGGGAAGTATGATACCACCAGCATTATTCATTCTTAGGATTACCTCAGCCATTCAAGATTAACTTCGTTTTGGGTAGAAAGAAATTAGGGTTTGAAACTAAAAATTATCATCCCTAGAATTCATGTTAATAGAACTACAGAATTCTGATATAAATGGTAATGATAACATTGTTGTTGCTAATTTTGCTGTTGATAATGACTATTTGTTGGCTTTGAGAATATAGATGTCCAGTTGTCCTTGAGATTCTAGGACCTGATTTAGAAGTATTCATATCTGAATCACATTCATATGTTGAACAACTAAAAAGACTTGTTTTCCTTGCTCTCCAAGTTTCCTTCTATGTAGGCCATAACTAAGATTTCAGCAGAGCTCCCTACTTATGCCCAGAATAAAAATAGGGGGTAGTCCATAAGTCCTGAATTTCTCTAAAAGTAGCTGAAATATTTGTAAAAAAAGAAAAGGAACAAGAAGACCCAAAAGGACACTGACAATAAATGGAGGGCTCTATTTGTCAGACTTGTGCAGAACAACTGGGATACCAATCATCACTTATATGATTTCCATGATAAGTAAGTTCCAGTATCCAAAATTCAGCTTTTAAATATCAAAATAGGAATCAAGTTGCTTGGATTTTCTCTCCCTTATAAGCAGAAACATTATTCAGGGAGCTACTCCAGATTTTTACATTAACTCAATTTCTAAACCTCCAGGCATCTTCAAATGAAAGGAAT